TTACTCATAGCTTAGACCTACATATTTTATTAACCGTTTATATCCTGCCTTTCTCCACAATGAGGACCCAAAGCAGCTTAGATCATTCTCCTCTCCTCCATTTCTCCTCACAACAATCCTGTGAGGTTTGTTGAGTGTATGTGTTACCGAGTGAGCTTTCAGGGCATATTGGGGATATGAACCTACACAAGGTTAGAAGAAGAGTTGGATTTATTCCCTACCCTTCACTCCAAGTCTCAGAATGGCTTTCAGTCTCCTTCCCACCCCCCCACAACAGACACCCTGTGAGGTAGATGGAGCTGAGAGAGCTCTGAGAGAACTGTGACTGACCCAAGGCAGGAGTGTAGCCAAAAATATCGGGTGGTGGGACGTTGGGAAATCCTGTGGGGCAGGGGAGCTGTGGGAAAGAGAGAGAGAGAGAGAGAGACCGGTGAGCAGCGAGCTGCAAGCCTGCCCACAGCAGAGGAAGAGGACTTGACTTAGTGGCAGTGGCCTCACTGCACTTGCACCAGCCCAGCCATGTGACCCACCACCACCAAGCTGAGTCCTCTTCCTCTGCAGCAGGTGGGCTTGCTGCTCACCACTTGAGTGGCATTTAAAAGGGAGAGCCCTCTTCCATCTTTAAAAGAGGGAGCCAAGTCTTCTTCCTCATCTACTGGCTTCCTCATCTACATGAGTTGGGAAGGGGGGGATCTCCAACTCTCTAGAGAGCCAGTTTGGTGTAGTGGTTAAGTGTGCGGACTCTAATCTGGGAGAACCGGGTTTGATTCCCCACCCCTCCACTTGCACCTGGCTGGATGATCTTGGGTCAGTCACAAGCTCTGGCATAGCTGTCCTTGAAAAAGAGCAGTTTGTGTCAGAGTTCTCTCAGCCCCACCCACCTCACAGGGTGTCTGTTGTGGGGAGGGGAAGGGAAAGGAGTTTGTAAGCCGCTCTGAGACTCCAAGTGAAGGGCGGGGTATAAATCCAATCTCCTCCTCCTCCTCCTCTATTTTGCATTTTGCGATTTTATTTTTTGCAATTTTATTTTATATTTTTAAAAATCTATTTTTCAGCCTGAAAAAAAGAAAATGAGACTGAACCTTCCCTGACTGTGCTGGGGGTCATTTTGGAAACCCCTCATGCATCTTACATTTTTTTTTTAAATTTTTCCCATGGGGACAGCTATCATCCGTGGAGGGCATTGCCCCCAAATGCCCCATGTGGTTATGGGCCTGGCCCAAGGTCAGGCTTCATGTGGAGGAGTGGGGAATCAAACCTGGTTCTCCATATTAGAGTCTGCTGCTCTTAATCGCTACACCAAAAGAGAAGGAGAGGATGATGTGTGCTGCTTTGGGTATCCGTTTGAGAGAAAAGTGGGGTATAAATGAAGTAAACAAGTAACGCTTCATATTCATGTGCAAGAGCTTATTGGATAATCACAACCTGAAACAAGCTGTGGACACCTGCAGACCTCCTTCACCATCCAAGTGGTAGCCTGGGGTGCCAAGTAGGCAGGGGTGCCACATAGGAGGAAGTGAGAAATGTGTCTTGTACCTGTGGTCACCTCTCAGACTGGGACCCAGGCAGGCTGCACAGTCTCATCTGCAGCCTGCCTTGGACTGAGTGCCCCCTCCCTACTTATGCCACTGCCACCTGGCTCCAGTGGGCTGTAGAGTCCCTTCTTTTATGCCATTGCCACCGGGCTCCAAGACCGGTCCTCTTGCAGTCACATGCTTCGGGCAGCAAAATGAGGTGAGCTGGCCCTGGATGTATGTGATACTCCCACATACAGAAGAAAAGAACATGAGTCCAGTAGCACCTTAAAGACTAACAAAAATTGTGACAGGGTATGAGCTTTCGTGAGGCACTAAAGAAGTATCTGAAGAAGTGAGCAGTGACTCACAAAAGCGCATACCTTGCCACAAATATTGCTCGTCTTTAAGGTGCAACTAGACTCTTGCTCTTTTCTAATGCTACAGATAAAGTAACATGGCTACCCATCTTGATCTATCCCACACACAGAGTCACACCATTGGTCAGATTGTTTTAGGACTGGTGGGCAGTTCTCCAAGGTCTCACTCAGAGAGATCTTTGAGAACAGCAGCGTTTCAGAGGCCCTTTAGTGCCCAACACTGGAACCTTGCTCACACAAAGAATGTGCTCTATCACTGATCCATGGCCCCTTCCTGGTGGGACAATCCACAGATAAATCTGTGTGTGTGGATGCCACAAGAATTGGGTCCCTGTTGAGACTTAACTGTGACGGAGCTTTTGATCTGATGGGACCGAGGAAGTGCACAATGGGGGGATGAGTTCTGGCACAGCCCGTTGCCAGTCGCACAGGGGAGAAAGGCAGTCAATTGTCCTGTGCCGTGACTCAAGCCAGGGTTAATCAGCAGGTGCATTCAACATTGCTGGCCTTGGGCCAACCCCCAGCACCCATTCCATGATCACATGGGGGAAAAGGATGCACCCTGGAAATCCCATCTGTATCTAACAGACATAGTTGCATAGAGCTGCAACTTCTTCTCCCCAGCTCCTCATCCCATGCCATCAATCAGCCTGCTTTGGAGAGGTCCCATAGAGCAGACGGGAGGGAAAGGTTGGTGGAGGAACTGAATGGAAGAAACTGGGTCTGCATCCCACTTTTTCTCATTACAGATCATCGCCTTACCCTTCCATTTGCCTGCCTGCTATGGGGCAAAAGAAAGTCCTGCTTGCAACTATAGGCATGAGAGAATAGGCACGCAGAAGTGATAAACAGTCTGAGAATGATGACCTGGCAGCCTTGGCTACCAACACAGAGCATTTGTATCTGGAGTGAAGATACCTGGACCCTTAGAGGAGAGGCTGGGGTCCATGGTAGAGCATCTGCTTTGCATGCAGAAGGTCCCAGGTTGAATCCCCAGCATCTTCGGTTAAAAGGAACAGGGAGCAGATGATGGAAAGACCTGAGACCCTGGAGAGCCACCGCCAGTCACAGCAGACCATGTTGACCTTGACAGACCACGGTTTTTGACACAGCATTAAGGCAGCTCCACACATTCCAGATGTCAGCCACCAGTGTGCCACTTGGTAAGTAAAAAAGGAATTTTGTGCCACTTCTGGCAACTGTTTGCAGTAGGCCCCTGCAAATGGAGCAAAACTGACAGACCTGCTTTTTCCGACCTGAGACCCTGGAGAGCCACCGCCAGTCACAGCAGACCATGTTGACCTTGACAGACCACGGTTTTTGACGCAGCATTAAGGCAGCTCCACACATTACAGATGTCAGCCACCAAAAAAAGAGGAATTTTGTGCCACTTCTGTTTGCAGTAGCCCCCTGCAAACGGAGCAAAACTGACAGACCTGCTTTTTCCACAGTGCTGCAATTACCGTTTTTATTCACAGCCATGATCTCAATGACCTTGGCTGGTAATAATCCCGAAGAATATGGAGCACCGCTTGCCCTGAAGGAACGGGTGGTGATGCTGCTGTGTGGAAAAACCGGAGCCTGGGCTGGGAACTAGGTCAACTGCACTCCCCAAATCCACTGCCAGCCACACTGACCTAAAAAGGGCAGCTGCAAGTCTATCCACGAATGCTGGTCTTTCTCCCCCTGAACATACAAGCCGCTCTGCTATATTCAAATCCCTTTGACTAGAAATGGGACTGGAAAGGACCCAAATAGCCGCTCTGCATGCCAACAACAGAACACTGAGCTTCAAGTGTGATCTTTTTACCCTAGTAATGAGACCTTCTAGCGCCGCCTGCTGGACAAGGAAGAACAGCCTGCAGATCTGTAGGAAAATGTCAATCGCAGCAATAAAGATAACAACTTTTCGTTAGGAGTAACAAAAATAACATGAAACAAGAAGGAAGTGTTGACTTCTCAAGAACTCTTCAGCTAACTGGATGCTCAGTATACCAAAAACAAAAGCCAGGGAGAGGGGGAATTTGTTTCAGGAAATGATGGACAAACTACAGACTAGTGACTTCTCCATCGCATCCTGAAATACAATTTTCTTTCCCACTTTTGGGACATGGTTTGTACTGAACAGCTAGCTTGATTAAGAGATATGGGGAACTTGAACGCTTGCTCACTATTTTGTGATTAGTCCTGATTTTAAAAGGTATTAAAGGAAAACCAGAACTCTAATGTCCCGCTTCCCAATTATTCTTCCTCGGACTTCTTCCGTGTCCGCATTGTCCTTGCTCAGGCGAATAAAGCACATGATTAGCTTAGAAACACTAGGACAATACCATGGTTATTTTAGTGCCAGCCTGCTTGTAAAACAAAGAGAGAACAAGCTTCTCCTATTTACACAAAACATGGCTCTAATGTAGCCGAGTGGCATCTGCATTTTGAGAAGGACTGCACCTGTTCATCGGTCAGGGGGCATGAAAGAGACTGCACCAAAAGCAGATCTCGATGTGGTACTGGGAGTTCCAGAAACTGAGCCCCTAGAGGGTTGTTTTCCCTTTAAAATCATGGGGTGGATTTCCATGGGGAGTGTGACTCAAGAGGAGCTTTAAACCTCTCCCCCACACCATTTTTCCTTAGCATGGCCCCCCTTGCAGCAGCAAACACAGAGAACACTTTCTTAACATTCCAGGGCTGTTTCAGATGCAGAAAGAGGGGGAGCTTAACTCACACTTCCTAGCACCACAGTCTGGAACTGGGTCCCCCCCCAATGTGATTTTTAAAAGGAAAAACCCCTCTGGGAGCTCCTTTCTTAGAATCCCTTGCAGCTGAGTGCTAAAGTGACCATTTCTAGAAGCCAAAGCTAGTTAAAGCCAAAAAGGGAAAGCACATCATGACTCAAACTGGTAACTTGTTTAAAGGGCACAGCTGATTCGTGTTTCCCCAAAGCAGACATGCTTAGATATGCCTGAAAAGCATGGAGAAGGAAAAGAGCTTTTCTTGCTTGATCCCAAGAGGAAGTGTAGCTGGAAAGGTAAAGAAAAGAAATCCCAGACTCAAGAGATCACTACTGCAATTTTTTTTTTATTATTGCATCCTTTTTAAAAATGAGGAGGAGGAGGAGGAGGGAGAAGAAGAGGAGGGGGAAGAGTGGAGGCCACTACAGAGAATATGAAGGTGTCAAAAAACTTACACAGGATCAGGGAGAAGACATGGGACACTCCACCCACTCTGGTGCCTCTGAAAGCCAGCCCGACCCCCCCCCCGCACCTTATGCTGTGATGCTCCCAGCCAGCTACTCACCCCAATGTAGGGAGGGGGAAGAGAAAGGGATTTAGGAGGGTGGCAAAGTAGTCCTTGAGTATCTAACACATCAACAGCTGGGAGAAATACTTTTAAAAATTCAGACAGCATCCAACATAAAATAAAACAAAAGGTACAAAGGAGGAGCCTGAAGACTGCATCTTCTGGTCTGTGTGCTGCACAGTTCTCAGAACATGTTCCCCTGGGGACGGTTTGTTCCTATGCGCGCTATGTCCAGTCGCCATTCCAACCCCTTACAAATCCAATTCCAGGTCCTCCAGTTCCTCTTCCAAAGTTTTCCTCCGAGCCAGCTTGTCCAACTGCTCTTTGGTCGGCTGCTTGATCTCCCCAGAGTCAATCCGTGCCTGCAGCTCCTCCACCTGCCGTAGTTTCTTTTTCAGATTTTTGACTTTCTTGTTCTTCTCCAAGGCGGCGGCCACAGACGAGGCATCACTGCTGCTTGCTGGGGGCCTCACAGTGCCAGCCTGCACTGCCAGCTTGCTGTCTCCACTGCCTGCCATTGTCGACAAGGTGGCTTTCTCTAGGGACTGGATGAGGTCATCTGTATCTCGGTCTCCTTTCTCCTGCTGTTGCTTCCTCTTCTCCTTGCGTTTTAGGTTCCTCTTTGTTGTTTTGGAGAGTCCCGTCTCACCGCCCTCCGATCCTTTAACGGCTTGCTTGGCCATAGGGGTGTTGACCTCTGGATTTAGGCCCGGAGGTAGTTCTGGTTTACTTTTGAAGAATTTTACGTATTTATTCTCATATCTGCAGGGGACAAAAAGATACCCAATCTGCTTTTTATATTTGAAATATGTAATACATTTGGTAATACATCTGATTTTACTTGTATGTAACAATTCATAATATTTCACAAACTTGATGAATCTATATTTTCCCCGTACCCCTTTTTTCCTTCTATATCCCACCCTTTTAAAGAGAAAATTATAATTTTTTTTTAAAGATACAAGATCTTACAATAGTTGAAGTATAGGTGAAAGAGACACTGAGCAGGAGTCATTTCTTCAGTGCCTTTGAAAGAAAGGTGAGGGACAGCATACAAATATTCCAGCTGTGGTTTCCCCTCTCCACAGATGAGCAGCAGATTTGACAGAGGCACTACATTCGTGCTTTATAGCAAGCTGGCTGTGATGGGGACCCTCACGGGTGTTTCTCGGGCGAGTCACTGCAGATCAAATTATTTATAATACTGAGCTCTCTGAGAAGCCATTGCCCTCTTGAACATGGTACCCTGCCACTTCCTGCCCTCCTGAACATTGGGAGGAGAAGCCGGGGAGAGTAGCCCATAAGTAATACTATGCCAAAGAGTGCCAGGGACAGTGGTAAGGCCGTGCAGTCCCACGTAAGCAGCTTGAACAATCCATGCCAGCTCTGTTGTAGCCTGGGTGTTAGACGGAATGCAAATTGCAGCTCAGAGTAGCCACTCGAGTAACTGTCTTGCCCCAAGCCTACAGGGATCCTCTTGAGATCATACCATTTCCCAGCCCCCCCCCCCAAACCCCAACACTTTGCTCTGGAAGCATCTCATGGCTGTTCATTTCAAAATAACAGGCAGGAAACATGTAGCAGAGATGAAGGAAGGCATATTTCAGGTGGGTAGTTTGATATTGGTCTGCAACAGAAGAGAAAGATTCAAGTCCAGTAGCACCACAAAGACCAACAAGCTTTCCAAGGGATAAGCTTTTGAGACTCAAAGCTCCCTTCGTCAGATACATAGAGGAATGGAGATCCCGGAGCCCTTATACCCCAGTCAGAAGGTGCCACAAAGATGTGAGTCTGGATGAAACGGTACAAAGCAGAATGCAATCCCCTAAGGATTTCTCCCCTGCTGAAATCAACCTGATTACATTTTACATTGTACATATGCTTCCTGACTCCCTTCTTTGCAACACCTTCTGACTGGGGTATAAGGGCTCCGGGATCTCCATTCCTACTTGTATTTGATGAAGAGAGCTTTGACTCTTGAAAGCTTATACCCTGGAAATCTTGTTGGTCTTTATGGTGCTACAGAACTTGAATCTCAGTCTTCTAAGGAAGGCATGGAAGCACATACAGAAGCTTGTTATGGCTGCCTGGCATGGATGGATTCCTTCACATATCGGAAATTTTATGCAGCGATTACGTTTTTAATCTCTTCTTCCTTTCAGGAGCTCAGAGCAGTGCTCAAGGTTCTTCTTGCCCCCATTCCATCCTCACAACCTCACAGGTTAGGCAGAGAGATAATGACTGGCCCAAGGTCCCCCAATGCATTGCATGGCAAGTGGGGATTTGAACCTAGGGTCTCCCCAGTGGTAGTCCAGCACTTTATGCTCAACATCACACTGGCTCTCTCATGCTACCCCTCAAGCCAGAATGATGTGAGCCATGTGGGTTTACCAAGCTAGCTTTCACAGGCCTCGGCCACATGGGCAGGAAAATGCGGGGGGCGTGGGGGCGTGGCTGTTTGCCCCAGAGCAAACTAACGTGCGACTGCGCAATCAGGCTTCGGGTTGAGGTCCCGTTGAGCTCCCTTGGTTAGGGGGGAGGTGCCGATCACACGACGCGGCAAAGAAGCAGAGCGGTGCGGCAAACGGGGTTGTGTTTGTTTTTTTTAAAAAAAACCCTGAAATGTGCGCATGCTCCGTTGGGTGCTTGTGCACATCCGTGGAGACTTGGAAAAAACCCAAATCTTTTTGTGAGGGGACATGGGCAGGCACTGGAACTACCACCGGAAATGCGATCAGACGCCCGCCCTTGCCCCGCTGTTTCCAGAAACTAGTACCTCCAAGGTACTAGTTTTTTACCCCGCATCTTCGGCGGGAAGCCTCGGGTGCGCCACGGGAGCTCTACGCTTCCCAGATGTGGCGGTGAGATCGCGCCCGGAAAATCCCCCTATCTTCCATCTCTCTAGCGTGCCTAATGCTCCGTGTGACCGGGGCCACAGTTAAGCATCTTATTCAAGGGTTCTTCTAGCTATGGGAACTGGGTTCCAAGAGCAGTGCTTGTGTGGCCAAGCGTTTTTTGGTACTGCAAAGCAGTCTGTGCCTAAAATAGAACAATGGACTCAAAAATCTATCGGCTCTCACAGCTATGGGAAAAAAACAACATACAACCCAGCAACTCTTGCCCAATGAAGTTTCATTTAGCTGCCACACTTAATGGCTTTTCATTCATATAATCTGCTGGTGTGGAGGTGTAATTGAAACTGAAGGAATTATCAACACTTTTATGTCTAAAGCTATTAGATTTTCCAAATGTCAAAGGCTGGGCTCCAAAGAATAATTTTAGGCAGGCCAAGGCGCTTGGGAATGCCCAGTGGAACGTTCCCTTTAAACAGAAGATGCACATCATCCACTTATTCAAGTCAGCTTCAGAAGTCTGTCATGTGGCATGGAGAGTGGATGTTTGAAAAACACAAGTCCAGAGACCTCTTATGCACACACCACTGGCATGTGATTCTTTGGATCCCACACAATACAATCTAAAGAAAAATGAGTCTAAAAGCCAAGCACAAGTGTGAGCTAAAACCTTGCAGGTAACCTGTGAAGGCTCAGCACTACTGAGCAAGGAATTCACAAGTTCTATTTATGTCCTGATAACTGCAGGAATTGCTTGACTACGCAAAAGGTGTAAGCAAAGCCCCATTGTGAAACTTTATAAAACATGCCCATGGCTTCAGGGAAGCTCCTATCACGGCAGCCAGAGGGGAAGTGACATTTCTAGCAGGTGTTTGAAATTCAGTGATGAATTCAACCCCAAATGATAAAAGCAAAGAGGATTTGTGCGTATGTGCATACCCCAGAACATGAGAATGTCAACAACATTGCTGCCTTACCCTCCCTCTGTTATTCTTCTCATGCTGTGAAGCTAAAGTAAGAAGGAAGGAATGTAAGGGTAGTGCTATTGCCATCAAGTCGGGGGGAAGAATGGAAGACACAGCGTGGGACGGATAGGCAGCACCCAGCTTCCAAAAGGGGGACGTATACATCCCCTGATTTATCTATTCATTTCTTTGTACTGCCAAAGATATGCCAAGCTGTGTGCCATTTACCTTCACCAAGTGAGGGCAATATGTGGTTTGGAGAAAGTTTATGTATGCCAGCAAACTCCAGATGACAAAGATGATGGTACGACTTACACTGGCACCTCTTCTTGGGGGACATAGCCTTCTTTCACCCTCCTTTGCTTCCTCCAAGTACCATCTGGACGCTGTGTGGAAGCGATGTATTTTCCTGAAACATTACAACTATTTTAGTGTACAAAAGAATGTCACCCTGTTTTATTTATATATAAAAGTGATTATGGAGTCTTTTCAGTGTTCCCCATCAGAACCTATGAAGATTTCAAGGCAGAGAATTCATGCATACCTATTTTAGCCATGTATTTTTTGTGGGCACATCACAATGTTATCAAGTTCCTAGACTGAGCAGAGTAAAAATCCCAGGTAGCTTCACATACCTGATCCTTCATGGGGCTTTTCTGCTGTATTTAACTATATGTATTTACGTAACACTTTCAAATGCGCTCGCAGAAGTCCTCCTTAACAGCTGTGTACTGCATACTGCAATTGGATTCCATTATTTTTAGTTTCCATTGTCTCATTTTATTGGAGAGCATCATTTTACGCTGCGTAATCCACCTTGCATCACAGTGAAAAAGGTGGGCGATAAAGTAAATAAATAAGGCTGATCAGTATTATTATCGTCATATTGCAAATGGAATGAGCAAATGCCTACCAGGGAGGAATTTGGTAACCTATGAAGCACAGCTGACTCACAAATACCATGGCAAGAAGTCTTATCGCTTTTGTAATAATGTGAAAATAGTTGTATCTGTTTTACTTAAAGAGAGCAGATTGCATCTCTTGCTTGAGTGGTGTCATGATATGTTGCACCGTTAGGCCCTGGGACAAAACACAATAGAGGCTTCTGAATCTTTAGCAGCTGCAGAACAGGAAGTATCAGCAGGTGCCACCTTTCTTATCTCCGCATGACAAGCTGCATCTGCTGAAATGCTGTCTTTGCCACAACAATGAAATATCCCCTTTTGCAGCTGGTCACCTTAAGCTGGGGGAAGCCATGGGAAGAGAAGACATTTACAGTGGACATCCAACAGCCTAAAGAGCCCTGAATCTCTTCAAACCAGATGGGCTGGAAAATTGCATCTGACGCTTGAAAAATGCACCAGATGGACACAGCCTAAAACTTATCAGCCGTATTTCGAAAACGGGAATCAGTCAATGGAAACCTCCACAGGGATGAAATAACCAGGTGCCTTGTGGCACCCTAAAGCTGACATCTTCGGATGAACTGAGAAGATTCGTGCTACGCATTCATTTTATGTACGGACATGAAAAGCAAACTATCAGCAGGATCAAAGGGCCAGGCAAAAATAGGGTGAAACGCAACTATGTGAAATTTACATCTAATCAAGAGCGATACAGAGGCCATTCACTAGTTATGCTAGGCTAGTTAACATCTGCATAGGGTGGGGACTCCCAGGTTTTGCTAAAATAGTAAAGAGTGAGAAATCCCAAGTCCCTATTCAAGTGGGGATGGGGAGGTAGTTCAGTTGAAATCCCCATTCAGCAATATCATGCTGGTGGAGGTCTCCCTTTGAAGTTCTTTTGTTGAAGACTCGTGACTTTCATGTCAGACAGGGAACATTCAGGGAGATGAAGTCATGGTAAGAGTAATAATCCCAGAGGGAGTAGCCACATTAAGTCTGTTGCAGCAATAACTAAACAGGAGTCTTGTGGCAGCTTAAGATCCACGTTTTTCTAACGTGAGTTTTGTAGACTACGGCCTATTTTGTTACATGCACAGAGCTGGTCATCATGACTTCATCTGTAAATTTCTGCCTAGTGAGGACAGACTGAACATATCTGACAATGCAGTGTGTAGCTCACAAAACCTCAAGTTAGAATAAAAACATGAATCTTAGAACCTCACTAGGCAGACATTTATGAATCAAGTCTGAGAATCCACTAGGGGCATCTGACAAAGTAGGATGTAATCACATCACATGATCAATGCTCCCTCTAAGCTGTGGAGTCTTGTGAGCAACAATTCTACTTTGTGAGCTACTGGCATTAAAGTTGTGAGTGAGCGATTTGGCTACTGCATAAATTAGTTTGCTCTGGAGCCATCCTTTCTGAGCTAAGGCAAAAATGTGAGAGCCAGAGGCTAAAAAGCTGTGAGCTCGCTCACACTAACTCAGCTTAGAGGGAACACTGCACAGGATACTATTTCAACTACAGATGCTGAGGACTGAACCTAGGACCTTCAATATGCAAAGCTTACCAGATAGTCCCCAAAGGCTCACACTAGAACAAAAATGTGTTTTGTCTTTAAGGTACTATATAGCAAGGAACGCTTAAACAACTTCCTGCAGACCCCAATCTGTCCTGTAATTTTATTGAACTAAGCGTGTTTACCTGTTCATACATCCATACCATGAACTCAGAACAGTCCTACACCCCTGGTGCCTAGAGTTACCAACCTCATGGAGTTTTCCTGGAATTACAACTGGTCTCCAGACGACAAAGATCAAGTGCCTCAAGAGGAAACGGCTGATTTGGAGAGCAGACTCTATGGCATCATATCTCCAAGCTCCCTCCCCACCCAAACTCTCCCCTCCCAGGCACTGCCCCCAATCTCCAAAAATTTCCCAAGGTGCAGCTGGCAACCTTTAGCCTCAGGCTATTCCCATAAAATGTTATTTCCACACATAAGCAACAAAACGCGCAGAGAGGAGTGCACGAGGACCATCTCCGGATCATGCAAAAAACCGGCACCGATAGGCAAGAAAGGATCAGACACCAGAGGTACGGAAGGCGGGCCGCGGGGACGAAAGTTGGTCCCCTACCGCAAGAGGCGGGGCTAATCAGGGAGGGCCGGGAAGGGGGCGCGGCTAGCTCAGAGCGCGAAGGAGAAAACGCAAGGGGACGGAGAAAAGGGGGCGTGGCCAAAGAGAGGCTGGCCGCGGGAGGCGGGTCTGGAAGGTGCAAGGATGGGAAAAGGGAGGGACGGAACCTCGGGAGGAAGGGGACGCGTGATGGGCCAACAAGATGAGCCGCAGTGGGGCTCTGGTGAGCGGATGGAAGGGCGCGAGCCTGGAACGGAGACTTCCCCCCTCCCATCTCAGCCGCGTCTCCCTCACTCACCGGTTTCATCAGTAACATAGGGAGTCGCCATCTTGGAAACGCGACCTGCTTCCGGCCGCGTTGCCTCCACCTCCGGATATGGCGTAACGGGGCGGAGAAAACCAGGGCCCGCGGCCATTTTGCTGTTACATACAAAGCGACTGTTTGGCTGAGTCGTGTTGGGGTCTCGTATACCAACAGATTACAGGCCGGTGTGGATTTCTCCTCTCCTCGGACGGCCCTAGCAGCCTCCTAATTATACCAGAGTACAGATTTATCTTTTGAAGAAAAACAACAACAACCCTACTCTCCCGTGGCCATTCTGAATTAGGGGGAGAGAAATGTCCAACTCTCAAGATAGGGCAAATAAACTACGCCCCAGAGGGGAAAATGATACTAATCATCTATCCCTTCAGAGGGAGAAGTAGTTTTCATTCACTTTGTTTTAATCGTCACTCTGAACTCTCAAATCCCACAAAAGTGCAGTACAGAGACAAAAAAAAAATCACAGGGTTTGCAACTGTTAAGTATGGCACTAGGGAAGGAAGTCTAAGGCTGCCATCCTAAATGTGTACATAACATGGAATCCAGTCCTTTTGAAGTGGCTTCTGTGTAAGTGTGGATAGTGGTGGACAATAGAGTGACAATAATTTTTGTAGGCAGTTGAGCAGTGCTGTATGGCTTATACTTAATGGGGCTGAATTTCTGCCTCTTACTACTATGAGGGCTTCTTGTAATTTATTCATTCTGATCACTCGGATGTAGAGGCTGGATGGTGTTAAAACTCCATTGTAAAACTAACTGCAGCAACAAAAACATTTTGAAAGCCAATTTTAAAAACTTGCGGCATCCTGACTTGCAGCTTCTGGCAGCTGTTTGTTCACAGACTTGAGACACCAAAGAAAGGCCACATACTGGTTAGGAAAAGCTTGTCAGTCATACCACAAGAAAAGCCCCTGTGTGGATTTACAATTCCAGTGTTGTTAAGTACCGTAATTATCTCCATGTGGATAAATGAGCTGTCTGTATGCAGACTAGCTTATTTAGTTACAAGTGATAATGTCAAATAAAGTTAAATGTAGAGTAGTTAGGCTTTTCTGATATGTTCTTCAGATGGCGAGCTGTGTATAAATTATTGTGCAGAATCCCAGTCGCATGTTTTATAGACCAGCTTTGAAACAAAAATACTTGCAGTGAAATTGGTGACCTAAAACCAGGATTAAAGCCTTGAAAGGGGAGATGTTATATAAGTTCCATGATGGGAAAAGAACAAGATATAAATAAAATAATAATAGTGTAGGACACTAGAAAGTATCATACAATTAGAAGGAACCCTCAAGAAATAGAGCCCAGTACCCTGATCCAAAGGAAGTTACCATACCCTTCAGTTTTCCTCTGTACTTGCCATGACTGCCCTCTGCATATGCTGATTATTGGATAACTGCAAGCAAGATAAGTCAGTCACCAAGATGCACCTCGACAGCAGTGCTTGCAGGTAAGGAATAGGATTTGTGGAAATCTGCCATGATATGACATTAAAAACCAAGACTGCAGTCTTATGCACCATTTACCTGGGAGGAAGCTCGATTAAACATTGTGTTTGTAGGGCTCACCTCCAAGCAAATATGCATAGAATTGGGCTGTAAGTGATCCAGAACGAAAAGTAGTCATCATTTAGATAACTAGTTTCACAGCAGGAAACTTGAAAACAGTGACTAATTTATTTCAGTTTATCAACTTGACAGCTACACAATGAGGAGATTTCTAGTTGCAAACCTTCTGTGGCCTACACATAAAAATAGTACAGATTTGAACAGCTAGGATTGACAGTTACATAAACAATGGAGAAAGAATGTATGTTCTCCAGTAGAGAAGAAGATGAAGTGTGTAGGATCAGTCTGCTGTGAATAATATGGATTCTTTATTATATAGACATCATAAATCTAAGGTCAACTTTATATAAGTACTCACAAAAGCTCATCCACAACATAGCATGTTCCCCCAAAGAGAAATCAAAACTACAACATAATAGCTGCCAAGAAAAAGTCTATAGAGCTAGTTGTAGCTCTTTCTTATTATCCACTTATTCTGTTGATAAAAAAGGAAAAGGAAAAAAGGAGGAATCAATCTGGAAAGGTTTAACCAACTTGCTTTACTATCCTTTTTATTTATTATATTTATTTTATGGCAACAACTATGTTGGAGAGAGAGGGAATGTTTTGACTGGTTTTTAAAAAGAAGCATGATTAATGTGGTTAATAGAGTAAAAGACAAAGGAAATCAGTGTCCACAATTAGAAAACATGAGCCTGGATCCTATATGTGATTTCTCAGAAGTGCTGGTTTGTTCAGTGGAACTTGCTTCCAAGTAAGGATTGCAGACTGAGCAGGATGTGTTTTATGCTTTTCTGAGAAATACAGAAATAGGATGTTAAAAAAAAAAGAGGGATCAGTTTCTGTTGGCTAGGATTTTATATGTTCTTCCATGGCACCCTCATTGAGCATGATCTGACATATTATTTAGTCCAACCTCTGTGAAGTTAGAGATCCTTAAATATTTGATAGTTACATGAGTTTTTCCTCTGACCTTTTTTTAAAGCCAAAAGGAGTCTCAAAAGGTTGTACATTTAAGTGGCTGAAAGACAATGAGGCGAAGAGCTAATCCAACCTTGTGTCTCTACTGCAGAGAATTAGTTTTATTTCCATTCTGCCTGACAAAGAATTCTGTGTAGCTGAAAAGCTTGCACACTTTTTAAAATTCCTGCAAAAAAAAATCAGTCCATTAAGTGATAACATCTTGCCTATTTTGAAACGTGGGAGAATGTCACTGCGCAACTATGATGTTCTTTGTTCAGGCTGGCAGTACCATAATGAATAATAATCTCAGGAGCTTTCACAGAAGTGAATGCATAATGATGGGAGGGCTAAAACATTATTTTTGAATGCTAAGGTTGGGGGGGGGGTGAATTAAAGGCAGGTTTTGCCCTCTGAATCTGGTTGAGCCTCTTTTCCTGTCACAAGATTCCAACAAAAGGGGAACAACCTCAAAAAGATTTTTTTATTATTGTCTCGCCGTCTGAGCGACACTGTATCTTCCCCATCATAGAGATGACACAGGGTTGGTAGTGGATGTCAAATGTGATTTGACACCATTGCTGCCTGTGGTGTTCCTCTGTGGTGTTTCAAGTCCTGCTTATATGGGAGAATTCTGTGTGCGGAGATTTTACCCATAATTAGAAGGAAACCAGCACTTGCAATGTTGAGCTTGAACAGCTGGAGAGCTAAGGTCCCCCCCTCCCCACCCCGGACAGTTTAGTGTTGGCAGTGAATATGTTGTCCAGTAGGTGTCACTCTGGCATGCTCGCAGTAGGGGATGCTGGACCAAGAAAAATAGGTCTGGTTTATTTCTCCCATCTGGTTTGTGGCCTGAGAAAGCAATCTCTCCGCAGTGTATCATTCATGGTTGTGGACACCCTGTTCTGAACCTTTATTTGGGCTCTGCTCTTCTCTGACTCTGCTTGCATCCAGACCAAGCACACAGAGAGTCATGCAAGCATCCCCCCATCCCTTCAATCCTGCTTTAAGCATTCTGCTTCTCAGTCTGGGCAGTCTGTCCCTCATTTCAGTTTCCCCCAAACTAGGAATGTGGAGTAGCTTCTGAATCTGAGAAAAGTGAAGGTATTCCAGCATGAGAAATAGGAACGTCTTCCATACATGGGCATCTTCAGATTATTATACTGCAGCAAGGATTTCATTTATCTGCAATTTCCACTATAGCATACTTAACCTAGTGGTTAATCCAGCACAGATTTTCTTTTACTTGCGGGGAATGGCCCAAATCCTGTGTCATTGCTTGTACACCCTATATCTGTGCGACAGTATCTGCCACATCTGTCCAAGAACATTACTAGCATGCTGTTCCCTAGAGCCTCTGACAACCCTATCACAGTCGTAGCACTTCACCAGTCTCTTACATTTTTGGTGTTGCCTTGCTGTCTTTTAATTTAGTACAGTCGGCATAACCACATAGAACCGCCCACTCCCTGGCAACCCACGTCACAGTAACTTGAGAGCTGGCACAGCATGATAGATAGAATGTTGGACTAGGATCCTGGTAGACCTGAGTTTGAATCCTCACTTATACTGTGGAAGCATGCTGGGTGACCTTCGGCCCATCTCAAATTCTCAGCCTGACCTACCTCACAGGGCTGTTGCTGTGAGAAGATGGAGGAGGGGAGAATTATGTTCTAAGCTCCTTTGAGTCCAAACTGGGGAGAAAAGCAGGATAAAAATAAATAATTGAAATGCAAATGCCACAGACACTCGCACACTCACTAAATGTATTATTCCCACTGCCTCTTATAATCCCCCATTCTCTTAAATTGAATCTGACCCTGTTGCCATTTTTATCATACCCATTACCATTTTTAGCAAGGCTGGGGGGGAAAAACATAGCTTGCTGCAGATAGCAAGTTAGAACAAGCTCACAACAGCTGGATCCTGCGCTGTTAGATATGCTTAAAATTCAGTGAAATAAATGGGCTTGTGCATCTACCTCTGTATAGAAGGGTGTATAAGAAAAATATTTTGTAAAGCTTTTGATTTATTTTATTTTTAAAAGTCCACAAGAAGGACTTTTACATTAGTCATATACATGAAGTCAAGTGAGGCGTACATGTATTAGCACAGGAAAGATGAGACCATTTTCTCTTCATTCCCCTTCAGATCTGTAGTCTGAGGGTGTTCTTGGATCCAGGCCTACTCCTGGATAAGCAGGTGGCAGCTGTGGGCAGGAGCGCCTTTTCCAGCTTCGACTGTTTCGCCAGCTGCGGCCTTTCTTGGGCAGAAAAGATCTCACTACTGTGGTGCATGCCCTGGTTACATCTAGACTCGATTACTGCAACATGCTCTACTTGGGGCTGCCCAGTGTTTAAATTGTCATATTTATGTTTTTGTGTGTATTTTAACTCTGGTTTTCATTATTTTAATGGTGTGGTTTTTGTTGGTTTTAAAAGATTCTAAGACGTGGTTTTATTATGTATGTTTTTAATTTCTTAGCTGCCTTGGTGGCCCTAATGAGGGTAGACATGT